ATTATTATAAGCAAGATATATTTCTTCCATTATTTTTGCCCTGTAATAATTACATTGCCATAATATTTTGGCATAATCACAATGGGTAAGTGATCGATAGCCATTCATGCCATAATAATTAAATTATTTTCTTATTTCATCTCAAACTTCCTTCTAGATGTGAGTGTGGCATATTTACTACCACTAGCACGTTCATATTCTTTCAAAAATGAATATGTATTTATAAATCATACATCCACATCATCAATAAACCATAATCATATATATGTGATTTACAAAATCTCATGTCTAATCGATGGCAAACATTACTCTCACAGAGTGAAAGATTATTCTAAAAATCCTTATTGTTCTCATTACTACAATGATGACAATTATAATTTCATCTATTGCCACGTCAATATCCATTGATACCTTTACAATAATAATTTTATCTTTTTTCAGACTTATTACATATTGCTACCACATTCTCTTAAGGAAACGAGAATGAAGCAAATTCAATGGGACGAGTTTCCACTTCTTTTGCTCACAATCATACATGAATTTGATCATAGTAAGACATAGAAATTTTATCACTTCGGGTAGTTATAATTTCTTACAAACTCTATTAGAGTTATAATCAAGATTTATTGTCTTTGTTTGTATTTAAAATCAAATTATAGAATTTCAAGAATGTAAAAGAGAAAATAAGGTAAAATACTTACCTTAAATCCAGAATTTATTCCTGAATGAAGTTCATGGAGCATTTGACAATCATTATACTCAATATTATGTACAATTGAGCACCATGCACATATCCCAATGTCGGATGACAAAATCAGATGCCTAGTATAGGAATATCGACCAATGCATTCATGCAAGAACCTCACACAAATTCCTATATTTTTTCTTCACGGGTTTAATTTCTCAAACATTAGACAACTAATTAATAGTATATCTACAAATTAAAGCAGTCACCCTTTACTCAATTGGTTAGAATTTCGTGCTGATAACTTATTATAAAACAATAAAAGAAGAAGAAGAATATTGTAAAGAAAAGTAGAGAGAGAGAGAGAGAATTCTTATTGATTTTAGATGAATTACAATGGAATAGAACCCCTCTATTTATAGGGATAAAGTGGCTTAGCCACAAAATAACAAACTTTAAAATCTCTCTAAAAGATAGACATTCACCACATATAAAATACTATTCATAACAAAAATATTATTTTCTTTTTTCCTCCCAAAAGGGAGTCTATTTTGAATTGTTCACATTCTATGTAAGCATTCCCCCCGATTAATATAGACTTACCTTCACATTTATTTTACATAACTGTAGAAATCAAATAAAATAGTTTCTTAATGACTCCACGTAAGCAGTATTTTGAGAGAGTCCATTATTCAGATGGTCACTCAACTATCCGAAATTATCTACCAAAATCATCTTTTTTTGATTGTAACAACAAAGTCACTTAACTATGCCTATAGCAATTAGAAGATCACTCTACTAGATTTCTCAAACTTTTGATCGCAACATACATATTTTACCCTCTAAATTATCAACTTTTATTTTATTTTTTATTTTTTTAGATTTTTAAGATTATATTTTTTCTATCTTTTTAATTTATATTATGGACTTACCTTAGAATAAATAAATTTTATTTATAAATTTAAAAAGTAAAAATAGTACAACAACAGTAACATACCCAGTAATATCTCACACTGTGGGGTCTGAAAAAAATAGTATTTAAGCATATATAATAATGGAATAATAAATATTGAGCATAGTAGAAAGTTACTTAGAACAATTTGTTCGTAACAATAGTTTTGATATTAACAACAAAAAATTCAAAAAATTATTTACACAATTGAGAATGAAAGAAAATATTTTTTTAAAAATATATATTTCATGCACGTACTATTGAAAATAATTATTTAAAATAAACGTATTTTTATAATATACTTTATATACTCTTGATAATTTGCAGGACCTTACTCCAGCAGCCGCAGACAGCCACACTTTGACCACATCTACCGGGAGGCAAACGGTGCAGCAGATGCCCTGAAAAAATATAGCATACTCCTAACTCCTTCTGAAGGCTAATTGCAGTGGAGTCCCATACATTTTATGTCTCCCCCACCCTTTACGTTTGCTGCTTTCAATAAGGACCTTTCGGACGCTACTGTACCACGATTGGTCCCCCTTTGTAATAATGTTATTGTTTAGCTTTTAATATAATCGTATCCTTATTAGCAAAAATAAAAAGATAATTAGCTCAATTATATTATTATTATGACATTATATATGCTAGAAAATTAATTTTTTATTTTTAATTTTTAAATAAACTTTATTTGTTCTATCGGTAAGTCTATAATATTGATTAAAAAGAAAAAAATGATAATATTGAAAAAAAAATGAAGAAGATAAAAGTTGATAATTTAGAGGGTAAAATATGTATTTGACAATCAAAAGTTTGATAGGTTGAGTGATTTTTTGAGTGTTATAGGCAAAATAAAGTGATTTTTCAATTACAAACAAAAAAAGATGACTCTACAAGACAATTTTAAAAGTTGAGTGGCCATTTAAGTAATTGACTTTATTTTGAGATATATCTTAGGTAGGAAATTAAAAGTGGACAAAGGCAATTCGTACATTGTGAGAATTCAATTTCTCACCAACCGGTGCTGAATTACTTTATATGCATTATATTTGTGCCATTAATTTACATTAGTTAACTAGCTAATTTTATTCCGCTAAAGAAAGATAAGGTGCAATCGTTTCTTTCAAAAGTCATGATTGTCCATTTAAAAGTTCTAGGCTCTATTATTCCTTAAGGTATGTACTTATGATTAAAAGGTGCGAATAATAATAAAATCTTGATAATAGTTCATAATCAAAGATTCAAAAATTTGAGGGGGGCGTCTGGGAATACATGGGGAGATTCAATCGTGAGAAGATCACTATACCTAATATATTGTACGAGAAACATCTGCGCTAGTATTGGTGAACTAATCGACACATTCCAAATGTAGTCAAGTGGCCCAGAAAAAGGAAGAAATCTGCTGACCTATGGGATATATCAGCCGAACAATAAGTTTCTTTAAATATTTCACGTGGAATCGTATATATCCTAATTCCTATTCCTGGCAAAAGGAAGGGCAAAACTAAGTGAAAAAACAATCATTCTAATCTCTCTTGTAGAGTCTTGAATTATATGTCTCTTGGTTGAATATTAAAGATTTAATTTAGTTTTGACTCTATCTTCTAATAAAATTATATATATCGGATCTTAAGCATAACATTAGGATCAAAACCTAAACAAACTTGTAATTAAGTAGATAAATTGAAAATTCTTTCAACAGGAATCGAACCTCCATCTTTCCCAACGAACCCACAACCTTTACCATTGAACTAAGACCCCTTTTGTTATTTGGTTCAGTAGTATATATTTATATAAATTTAGTAAATATTTCAATACAAATACAGGGTTCCGGAAAAAGTCACTGGGTTCGCCCGAACCCGCACCCACTACTGTAGATCCGCCACTAACGGTAACTAAAGATTGGTGACTCCATTTTCCATTTGATCAATGGTTAGCTGAGTGATCCCTGGACTTAATTAGGATTATAGCTGCTGCCGTACATGCCTTAATAAGAAATTATAGGGCGATCTTCTCTTGATTCTTGAATGAGGGGGATTTGTGAAACTAGTAGAGGAGGTTGACATAATAAGATGACTCATAATTTTTGGAAACATGCTTATTTCGTGTATTGAGTGAAGGCTGGCCGCGGAACAAAACAAACTCTTCATTATTATTTTGCTTGTGCAGTCATTTACGTGAGCGAGTGTTGGGTTGTACTACACAAAACACAATGTAGTACAAACACATACAAAATGAGCAATAATACTTTTCGTATTTGCTTCTTCTTATACTTTCACTAAATTGGGAGTACTCTCTCCGAAACTGTAGTACTACTAATAATACTTGGATAATGTTAATGACGTTTAGTGTGGGCCTTACTTGCGTGTTAGGTGAAGGCGTGTGAAACTAAAAAAACAGTAATATCTTCGTTTCGATTTATTTGAATTTATTTCCTTTTTGATCCGTTTAAAAAAGAATTATCTTTTTTTAAATTTGAAAATAATTTTGCTTAAACTTACCATTCTACCCTTGATGACAAACTTTTATAACCACACAAATACTCTAGACCCCCTTTTTAAATTGTTTAAAACCACAAATTCCAAAAGTATTCATTTTTTTCTTAAACTCCGTGCCCAATCAAACATGTTCACCGGGACAGAAGGAGTAATTAATAATGATATCATCATACAGTAGGAAATAGAAATAATGAAATTGAGCAATGAGCAATTAGCATGGTCTACCACCGAGGTTATCCACTAAAATTTACTAGTAAATGTATACAGTTTCTCAAGGTTAATTATGAACTTTGATTTATTCTGGTATTGATGTTCTCTTTGTATTTTATTTAAGTTGTCTTTAATTAAACAATAACAGTTTTTTGTGAAAAGATAACACATTTCATGCATATTATTAGTTTTGTTTTTTGAACATATCAGTTATGCTCGTGTAAGTTTTCTTTTGATTCGTATTGTTTCCACATCGTTTTGCTATTTCGTTTAATTTTTTTCTTTATTATTCAGAAGAGGCAGATCTAAGATTTAAACTTGTGGGTTCGACTTTTAAGATTTTTAGTATTGAACCAATTATATTTTAAAGTTATAAGTTCATATCTATTATTTTTATAATTTTAATAAATTTTTACTCCGCATCAAAAGTTAGATCCGCCCCTAATGTTCAGTACCAAGTAATAGGAATAAATAAATATCTAAAGAGGTCATTGTCAAACTTTTCTTCAATATCCTTGGAAGAAATTTCTGCTTGGTTTGTAAAGGGCAGTTTTGTCCGAACACAATATATATTGTAATTGGGCACGTCACTCTCGACTGATATCGTACACTTCATCGCACTGGCTTCGTCGCATATAAATATTCTAACTTCAAACCTGAACGATCATACAAATTGCTCAGTAAAACATCTTGCATTTTCCATTTCCACATCACAAAAGACGTTGAAACTTTAGTAACTAAATTAAGAACTCGCCGTCTCAGGTGGAGTTCTCCGGCGATCGTCGTCTCTTCCGTTTTCCGGTCAGTAAATAGACATAAACTTTTCTCTTTCTTCTGTCGTTGTTTATCTATCTTTCCGATTTGCTTTAGAGTATAATTGTTTTCTATTTGAGTCCTTGGTTTTACTATTTGCTACTCGAGATTCTTCCTAAGCTCTTTATCATATTAAGCGATTATACGCCTTTTTCTTTTCCTTTTTGCTAATTTTGTTAAAATGTCTCTCTTTTTCCTTCTGTTTATCTGTGAAGTTTTTCGCGAGCTGTTTTCATTTTTGTGATTTTGTCACTGAACGTTTCTATGAGTTCATCTGGATATTCAACAGCTGTGAAATTAATTTTAGTGCAGCGTGAAAGAGTCATCCACGTAATATAGCAATCATTTTAACTTGTAAAATTATTTTAAGGTATCCTTAAAATAAATGGAGAAACACTAGGAAAAGTAACCGAGTTTCTAATAATTTGAATTTATGTGCTAGAATTTGAGTGCTTTGATGAATTAATCCAAAACTTTGTTCTGTATTTGTTATACTTAATCCTTTTGATTTTGATACATCTTTGTGCTTCGATTTGGCAATAGAATGGTTATTAGCGAAGAAAGAATGGAGATGGAGCAACAGTTAGAGTGGAATGAAGCACAGAAGATTGTGATAAATGTGGACCTTGTTGCTGCAGCTAAAGAGCAGCTCAACTTTCTTGCCACCGTTGATAGGAACCGTTGGCTGTATGAAGGCCGTGGTCTGGATAAGGCCATTCATAGGTAATACTTAATTTGTATGTCTTTCTCTCAGGTTACTTGTTTTCTGACTATGATTACTGACTATTTGGAATGTTTACTTTATATAAGTCAATAGCGATGCCAGGAATTTGAGTAAGGGGATTTTAAAATGTAGAAATGTCACACTTAAGATTTGAACCTATGTTAAAGGGATTCAATAGTTTATATACATACAAAAAAAAAATTTAATTTTTAACCCTTTTGCACAATACAATTTTTATGCAAAGGGGATCAATTGAACCCCCTTCACCAAAGGTAGTTCCGCACTGTTATATGTCGTTTTTATTTTCTTCTGGTCCGAGATAATATTACAAGTTAATGTTTCGTTTCTTTAGAGTATTATGTTATATGACACTATGATAGTTACTACTACTATCATTTTTAGATTTTCCCCACACTTGCTTATCTTATATATTTGCCTATTGTCGATTTGTTATGTTGTGTGAACTTCAAAAAGGATTTGAGATTCTTTCTGCATCTAGGGAACTTGGGGTGGCTCACTTTATCCTTTTTCTATTTAGAGAACATGTATTATAAAATTGCAATTTCAGGTACTACTCATGTTGGCTACCGCTGTTGGCAAAACACTCCGAGTCCCCCTTCTTTGAAGGACCTTTGGTTGTTCCTTTGGATTGTGAATGGATTTGGCATTGTCACAGGCTCAATCCTGTAAGTGCCTAAACTAGTGAAACATTTGTTATATAACTTCTGTGACTAAAAGATTTTAGGTACACTTAAATGTCCCTTCTCCCTTCTTTTCCAGGTTAGATACAAGACTGACTGCAAGAAATTATATGGGAGAATTCTTGACAACCATGATGTTGTATCTTCTGTGAAAGCGGAATCAAAACAGGATACTGAAGAGCTCTGGCAACATTTGTATCCAAATGAACCTTATGATTTGGACTCAGAAAGAGCTCTTTTCGAAGATATCCATGTGAAACCTATACAGGCTGAACAGTGCAGTGATTATGACCTAGTCTCTGCTGTTAAGAGGCAATGCCCTTTCTTCTACCAGGTGAGCAAGAGGATGCTAACGCTTTTGTTTTGAGTCTAGCACAGGATATCAGCAGTCAGACTTGTAGAGTTCACTAGCTTCAGTTTTTTATTTGAAAGCTTGAGAACCATTTGGTTTATGCCGAACAATATGAACAGAATGGTTTAGCACACATTACGAAAGTGCTTAATAGGGAAATCCAGAGCTGGAAAGGTTAGGGGGCATTCCTTTTGCCTGTCATCCCATCCTTATGGTTAATATATGCCTTGGAGGCCGGAGAAAAAACTTCAGCTGTTTTCCTGCCAATTATTCTTAAAATCATATTATCCATGCGTGATTTTAGTGGCATTCATTTTATTATCTACTCCATTAAGCAGCAACATAGAACTCCTTTTTCTTTATATAGTTGCTTCAAGCATGATTCCTTTGATTTGAAATTTGATAAGGAGATCTAAGCAAGTAGGATGTGTTATTTTTAATTTTGCGTTATTCTTTCTTGCAGGTGTCTAGACCACACATGAACAATGATCTCTATCTTGAAGGTGCTGTGGCTCGATACAAGGGTTTCTTACATCTGATCCGGAGAAACAAAGAAAGATCGATTAAGAGCTTTACTGTTCCAACTTATGACATAGACCTTATCTGGCACACTCACCAGTTACATCCTGCTTCTTATAGCAAAGACCTTGTTGTCATTATGGGTAAGGTGCTAGAACATGATGATACTGACTCAGACCGAACGAAAGGGAAAAAGTTGGATACAGGGTTTTCTCGAACTACAAAACAGTGGGAGGAAACATATGGTTCAAGATATTGGAGGGCAGGTGCAATGTATAGAGGAAGTGCACCATCTCCTCTTAGGAATACTCATTGCTTCTCCAGAACTGTAAGCAAGAAGGAAGATACTTTGCACGAGCACCAAAAGATAATGCATTATCCTGGGATGGAAGCTGTGGAAGTAATTCTCTGCATCTTTCTACTTTTGTTTTTGTCTTCTCGAGATCGTTTATAATTTGATATTTGATATTAGTGATATATTTGAGATGCTTACGTATTATGATTTCCGTTTCCAGCTTTATATCTGAAGTAATCAGTGCAAGGATGAGAAATCTGGAGTATGTGCTGAAACCTAATATATGTATGTTAAGAATGATCGTTGTTGTTCATCAGCATGCTGGTAAAGCTAGAGATCATAGGAGCCATTTCACTATATATAGAAAAATTTAAATCCAGTGTAGAAAGTTATTACAACTTTAACCCCTACGATGACATATAAAACAATCATTATCTGTCTCGTTTTTTGGAATGTGGGTATGGTGTCAATGCATTTAACTGTACCCTTGCCTATCTTGAGTGTTGCTGCTCTCTGTTACAAAAGACTTCAATGCGTAGCCTAGATTTCTAGATCACTGATCACTTAACAGAAACTACTTATTGCTTACAATTACACGGCTTCCATGTTTCTTGTTGAAGTGATTTTATATTCAAATTAGTCACTCTTACAGTAATTTGGAACTTTTATTAACTTCTCTAATTATTTACAGGTTATGTTAGAGTTTGTAGATATCAGAAACTTACCAGAAGGGCGCAAGGGAAGCTTCTTCGTCTCATTTAGCAAGACTCAGCCTGATAAAATATTCAATGCAAAGAGGAAACTTACTATTTTGTCTATCAGTGGGGAAAAAAAGGTTGCTACTTTCCAGTGTGAACCTAATGGTCATCTTCTTCTTGATCTCATGTTCTACTCATCTTCTGGTTTGCCTATTCTGAATTCTGTGAAACCTATGGGTTCTGCTAAAGTCTCTTTAGAAGATTTAATTTGCCCAACTTCAAAACTTACAATGGAAAAATGGGTGGAAGTTGTTCCAAACTCTAAAATGGAAACACTAAAGCCAATCTATTTACGAGTAGCAATCTCAGTTACAACGCCTATACCAGCACCATATGTCTTTCACTTTGTTCGTTCTCGAGCATTCTCCAAAACTTCTTGCTTTTTCCCTCTTCCTGGGAGGATTCAGTATGCTAAGAATTGGACTGGTGTCATCGATGATGCTGGTGATGAGGTCATTAGCCTGCAAATGAGGTACTTAATGTTAATCGTTTTATGCTGTCGATGCAGTTCTAGTTAGGGACTTTAACATAAATGTGCCTGTTATCTATACACTATCTGCTTTTTTTTCCGCTTGTATTTGTGATTAAATGTGTTTTCATGATAATGATTTCTTGTGGCTTCATCTGACATATTTGCGACTGTGGTGTCACCATCAAATTCTTCAGAATGCTTTTTTCTCTTTTAAACGAACTTGGGTGTAATCCTTTTATGAACCTAATTCAGTATTGGGGGACCTGTCTTATATTGAAAATGTGCGAGGACCTTTGTTTGTTGGTGAAAGTTTTAACCAAAACCGATAATTTCACCAAACATGTGGAAGTATGAGAAGTTAGGAAACTGTCATTACCTTTCCTCCTTGCTGCTTGAAATTCTGTTGAACATCATGGTTCCACTGTAGGGATTCGACGAAATCAAAGGGGAAAAATGATTCTACATTGCACAAGGAGGTGATTGGCATAAGCAAGTCTTGCGAGGTACATTCTTTTGCTGAGTTAGTAGGGAAAGAGTGGTTGCTGCTAGATGCTCAGTGGTCCCTTCAACTACAAAAATCCAGCAGTGATGATGGCCACCTTTTGGAGTTGGCTGGTCACAGGAATGTGAGTGTTTATCTGTTACGTCTTCCTTTTTTCTAGGGTTCAAAACAAGGGGAAAATAAGATTACCACTCTCATTTAATATCTACCATTGTCACTCTTACACTCATCTATTGAATGACTAATTTCCTATGAGATATGTCGGAATGGATCTTTGCTGAAAAATACCAATTATCTGTCATATTAGATTCATCTCACGTTCCCATTGGCTTTTCCTAGGAACATGGCTTTGCTGCTAACACTCTGTAACAGAGGCTCTACCTCTAAGTTCTGCTTAGATGGTTCCAGCCATTGTCGTGCTATTTTTTTCCTCGAGGAAACATTTTGTCGTGCTATTTTTTTCCTCGAGGAAACATTTTGTCGTGCTATTTTTTTCCTCGAGGAAACATTTTGTGTTTGGAACATTACAGAGCTTAGTATATAGTAAGTTATTGAATTTGGTAGTTGTTCTTGCTGCTGCAAAATGCTATTACACTAAGACACAACAATTTCAGTCACCGTAATAGCTATACACTTAACATCATTGTTGTGGCCTCTCAGCAATTTCAAGAGACTTTTGTGTTTATGATATTATGAATGAGTATTGCGGTTAAAGTTCTCTTGTACAGCTTCTCATTTACTCACTTATTTCAAAGTCATGAAATAGCTAAATCTGTTGGCTGATACCCATAATTCGTAATGATTCCAAAAGTTTACATTGTTCTGACTCTCCATGACTTAACAGTTTCCGCACTCATATGCTGTACAGGTGAAGTTCTTCCCTGGTCAGAAGCTGGATTATGAGCACAAGCCTTGCACAAAGCAAAGGAGTCCTGATGATTTTTTGACAGCTATAGAGTTCTCTGCACAGGACCCTTATGGGAAGGCATTGGCATTGATTGACTTAAAATTTGGAGTTATCAATGTAAGTTATTTGTTTATACTGGTGTTCCACTTTCAACTCGCGGAATCACATCTATCTAAGAAATATAATTTCTTTGTAAAATCAGGTAAAAGAGGAGTGGTTCCTATTGCCTGGTTCTATAACAGCTTTTGTACTTTGTGATACTTTGAGGAAGGAAGGGTATAGTAGCCTGGTAGGCAGTGCCAAACATTCCAAAGAGATTGATTTTTCAACTCAAGAAACTGACATGAGCCATGAAGAAGGCAACAAAGCTAATCTAAAATCTGAGTCAGAGAAGGGAATGCTGTTGGACCTGGAGGCTACCAAAGGAAACATTGCAGCACCAGCAAAAGGAGCAATTAGTGGAGGCTGCGGCAGTGGTTGTGGTAGTGGTTGCGGTAGTGTTATGAGGAGTGGGGCCTGCGGCAGTTGTGGTGCTGGTTGTGGAAACAAATTGGAGAGTGGTGGTTGTGGGGGGTGTGGCAGTGGTGGCTGCGGGGGAGGCTGTGGAAGTATGTACGAAAGCAGTGGGTGTGGTGGTTGTGGGGGCTACGGGGGCTGTGGTGGTATTGGTGGTTGTGGGTGGGATTCTGAAAGTAGGTCGAACAGCAGTGGTTGTGGAGGCTGTGGCGGCGGCGGCGGCGGTGGTGGTGGTTGTGGAGGAGGTTGTGGAAATAGGTTGAAAAAAAGTGGTTGTAGCAGCTGTGGTGGCGGCGGTGAATGTGTTGATGGTTTGGCATCTGGCAAAGCTGCTGAAGTTGATGCATAAATGACATCCCAAAGGAGGCTAATGCTAAAAGCCAATAAAAGTCCTAATCACTTTCATGCTTTTTATGTTTGTGGAACCCTTTTCCCATTAGTACACAATAAGCACTTCATGATACACCAGTGTCTTGTAATAAGGATTTTCAGCTGTTTGGCAATGTTTGTTGATATGCTGTTGTATTACTATGAATGTAAAAAGTAAATAAAGTGTCAAGGATGAATATAGTCATCTGGTTTAATTGGAAATCTAGATTTCTATATCGTACATTATAGGTTGTTCTAGTGACTGATTTGTGTGTTTGTCTCTTATTACTATTACGGATTACGGAACAATGAAAAGGAATGCCGTTTCCCTCTCTTTACAATGCTTATTTATGCGCAAATGACTATTGCTCTGAAGCTGAATTAGTTGGTAAATCAATTATCTGCTAGTGTTGGTGGCTCGAACCAATCGATCTTAGATGTCAAGTTAATGATGCACAAGCTTCTCTAGGTTTTTCTCTGATCCTTTATCTTGTGGAATCGAATTTAAGAAACTAGCTCTGAAAAGCTGAAGAGAAACAAGAATCCTTATTGCTCCATATGAAGTGGTCATATTCTCATTTGACAGAATGGTTAATACGCAATTTCTCACATCATCTGTAATTGTCTCCCATTACACTAGTGATTACTTTGAAACAGAGTCAAGTAAGAAATATGGGGCCATAACTACTTGTTAAGGGATATCTGGCTGGAACAATTCAACCCAATAGAAAGTAGGCACACATTTATTTATTATGAGGTAATCATTGATTTTGTTAACAGCTTAACTGATGCGTAGAATTCATATGATCAGGTTACTCGAAAACCATCTGCAAGTAACTTTTTACAGTAAAAAATTACATGAAAAAGAGAATTGATAGCCTGTTGGAGCAGGTCAAAATCAAATCACACCAAGAATGTGAATTGTTTTTACACCATCATGATAAAAAAAATAACTTGAATTCTTCTGTGTCTGTTGATTAATCTCCATTTAATTATTTGGAGTCCAGTGTAATGCATGCCTCATGTATTAAAGGGTTAATCAAGGAAAGGTTCTCTTTGGTGGAACAATGTGGAACTACTCCTTTGTTATCACGGATAAATATTTTTTGCACAATTATATGGTTTACTTCATGAGTATATTACTTGGTAACTTCGGGTAAGTCTCCACGTAATGAGCTTTTCACGGACTACATTACGTAAATCAACTCGATTTTCCGCACTCAACACCTGAGAAGTCCATAGGGTTAGTAAATCCAACGCAAGTTAAAGTAAGTTTATGGCCTAATTGAATCTTGTTTGGGTAATTCTTTAGTTATGGGGCTTAGGGTGAAGGGGAGGTCTACTCATCACGTTGAAGTCCCAACATGTCTGCGAGGCTTAAAGTATTTTTCACATCAAATCAATATGTGACGTGTGTTTATCGGAAAAATCGAATAACGTTAGATTTTGTGTAGAGAAATAGAGATACGTATATTCTTGACTATGAGAATGCAAATAGTGGGCAATAACAATGAATGAGATAAAGTAAAGCAAACACAAAGGGATATCTTTCAAGCTGAAAAGTGATTTTTTTATCTCCGCCCTTTAGCTTACAAGGATTCCCCCTTTTATAGAAGAGGGTTATTACAAAAAATAATAAAATAAAACATATAGTGGAAAGCTCATGATGACTTGTCTCTTCCTTGATTCCCGCCAAGATTATCTCTCTTGGTGCGGTCGCAACGGCTCTTGTCTGTGAGCTCGATACTGGCTCGAGCTCGTTACTGGGTCGGGCCTTTCGGTCTTGGCTCGAGTCCGACCTTCGAGATGGGCATCGCGCATTTTCGACCTCGAAGCAGTGCCTTGCGGATCGATTCGGTCACAGGCTCGATAGAGTTATCGAGCCGACTCCTCGATCGACCTTCGGGCTCGACGCTCGTTAGTACCGACTTCGGAGCTCACTCCCAAAAATCTAATTCCAACTTTTTAACACTCGAACTCGATCGAACGTAGGAAAGCCAAAATCTATTTCGACCGTATATAGATAGTCTCCTCGTTTCTCACGAAGGATGCGGTGAGAATCGACGTGATTTTTGGTAGTTCGATCGGGTCATAAGCCGACGTTTTCACAGGGATCATTTATGACGTATGTGATAGCTGTCCTATCGATTCAACCTTTCAAGGTATTTAATGCTTGTCAGATGGCGGTCGGCCACCTGTGATATTGAACCGTCACGATATGAGCCTATAAATAGCTCTTCCATCTATCATTTACTTCATCCACGCGTTCACTCCCCCAAATTTTCTCATCTTTTCTTCCTTTCTTGCTGCTACCAGAGTTTTGGTGTCGTCAATTTTTCACTTTCCTTTGTCTTTCTTCTTCCCATATCAATGGCCAAGACTTCGAAAACTGTGCCTCAGAAGGAGAAAGTTTCTTCTTCACGGCCGTCCGGCGATAGGCACCAGTGAAGCCGTCCACCTATGACTATATCCCCGGCCCGTGTACTCTAAAGATCGATTTTAAGGTTGAGAATCCTTCATCCGTCCCGGGTCGATGCGAGCACGTGTCGATGTATATGTTCTCTATAACGGAGGGTCATCTCGAGGCCGTTAGAAAAGACTGTAACTAGGGTTCCGAGGTTGTGTTGCAAATTCCATCCCCCGAAGAGAGTGTGGTCACCCATGTGGAGGGTTTTTTAAGTGTTTACATTTATCCCTTCACATTGGGTCCGGTCGACCCGGTGATCATCGATTTTTGCAAGAGATATCAAGTCACCCTAGGTCAGATTCATCCCTCTGTGTGGCGTATAGTAATCCTACTTCGCTTCTCCCCACCAAAGCCGGGGGGCTGGATTTTACCCTGAATCACCTCATACGGTTGTATCGGCCTCAAATCTTTCAAGGATTAATCATACTTCATAGTCGGGCATCGAAGGCTTTGATGTCGAGCATCGACAAAGACAAGGATCGAGGTTGGATGGGGCGTTACATTCGGGTGAGGACCCATGACCTTATTCCGGAATAGAAGATGCCGTTCCCCGAGGAATGGAATTTCGATCGTAAGTTGTTTTCATAAATAAGAATTTTTTTTTGATGTTTCTTCCCGAAATACAGCTGCCCCTTGGATGCCACAAGCGGTGCCTGACCTCGAGGATTGGGTTCGGAAGTTAGCTTCGACTTCCTCTTATGTCGAACGCGCTTGGCGTGATTTGGCTAAAGGCAGATGGGAAGCCAAGAACCATGGTAAGGTTTTACTTCTCTTTTCCTTCGAAGCGCTCTTTGTGCTCCATTCGTTACCGATTTCCTTTCATGCAGGCGTAACCAAGGATGCCGTTTTGAGGCCTTCGAGCGGTGAAGAAGGAACCAAGTCCCCAGTCCCGAAACCGGGGAAAGACAAGAAGCGCAAAACTGCCTCTCGATCAGAGGGCCCCAAGCCCGAAAATCGAAGGGTGAGGAGGAAGGCAATTTCCCTTTCGATTGACTCGGTCCAACGACTGAGAGAAGAAGAAGAAGACAAAGAAGAAGAAGAAGAAGAAGAAGAAGAAGAAGAGGAAGAAGAAGGAGGTGCCTCGGCCTTGGTGTCCTGATCTGGCAGAGCTATTGAGGTCACCGAAGCTCCTGAACCGATGGCAGCTGTACCAGTCGGGGTTGATTCCGGGATCCCGAGTCTTGATCGGAACGCCCCGAGTGATTCACTTGGGACTATGACAGTGGGTTATTCGCCTTCTCTTCCCACCTTTTTTGAGGAGGCGTTAAAGGAATCTCGAGAATTGAAGACCCCCGATATGGGCGGAGGCTCTAGTGCAAGGGATCCCTTTCGGTATTGCTTTACCGGAGTCGGTGATGCTTCCGATATCGGGGATGCTTCTCTTCTACTGGAAGAGGCCCAACGTTTCATTACTCGGGTAATGATTGTACTATACATGGTTTCTTTGTTCTTTTTCCGAATTTGACTCGTGTTCTTTCCCTACTGTGCAGGAGGTCGAGCTTCAGAATGTCTCGGGGGAGAGAGACGCCTTGCGGCTTCTTTGCAGCCAAAAGGACGAGGCTATAAAGGACCTCCAAGCGGATTTGGCTAAGGCTCACGAAGAAGAGGTCGAACTTGACAAGCAGGTGAGCCTCGTTCTGTTAAAGTATGGGTTTGACTCGACTGTGGAAGTTAACCCTTCGTTGTCTCAGCTGCAGCAAAAGGTTGAAATGATCGGGTCACTTCAGGAAGAAGTCGATCAAATCAAAACTGAATGTAATCAGTGGAAGGAGACTATCGATTGCTTGGCTGCAGAAAAAGAGACCATTTTGACCAACTTATTATCGGCCGATGTCCAGCTTCGAAACGTTAAGCAAAAGAGTTCGGCTCAAGCTAAGAAGATCGAGGAGCTTGAAGCCCAGCTTGCCGAGGTTGAGTCGTCAAAAATCTTGGCAGATAAGTCCATTTCCGTGTATCGGGCTGATGCCGAGGCTGCTCAAATTGAGGCACGAGAGGCGGCGGATACTGCCGACACCCGATCACACTGGATTGCTGAACTTGCCAAATGTAGGTCTCGGAGGGAGACCCTTGAGGAGATACATGTTCGGGGTTTCGACCTTACTGAAGAAATAAAAAAGGCTAAAGAGCTTGAAGCTGAAGCCTTGGCTTCTGATGGCGATGATGATGACGATGACGGTAGCAAGAGCGAATCCGAGGGTGATCAGGAAGATTAGTCCATAGTTATGTTTGTAATCATGTAGAAATTTTTGTATATAGACAACTTTGGCCGATTTGTGCAGACTTTATGCGTGCCTTTACAAATGTTTTCACAAGGATCTTAACAATTCAATCAAATTTGGACTTTATAGTCTCTATTATTGATTTGTTCGAAGTGACGAAGCCCTTGGGCTTACTAGTTGAGCTAGTGATTCGATCTTGAAGAAATATAATCCGTAGGCGTAATAGTTGAGTGAGTGCTTTGCTTGAACTTGAAGTGAAAGTAGCCCGTAGGCTTTAATCGTCGAGTGAATGATTCGAACTCGAAGTAATGTAGCTCATGGGCATGATGGTCGAGAGAGTGATTGCTCGAACTCGAAATAAAAGTAGCCCGTAGGCTTTAGTCGTCAAGTGAATGATTCGAACTCGAGGTAATGTAGCCAGTGGGCGTGATGGTCGAGAGAGTGATTGCTCGAACTGGAAATAAAAGTAGCCAGTAGGCTTTAGTTGTCGAGTGAATGATTCGAACTCGAGGTAATGTAGCCCATGGGCGTGATGGTCGAGAGAGTGATTGCTCGAA